AAAATTAAAAGGTCGTAATAATAGTAAAAATGCATCAAGTAGAAGAAAAAATTATTCTGGACAATCGAATACAATGAAATCAATGTCTGCAGATTTTTCCGAAATTAATAACGAAGACGGGCAATCAAATAATGAAAATTCATCAAAATGTTGTTGTTGTTCAATACAATAAAAGAAAAACAATTAAAAACAATTAAATTTAATTTTACTTTTCGAATTTTCAAAATTTATTTTGTAAAAAAGATATAAAAAAATCTATATAATATATGTTATAAATGCAATTAAATTATCAACCTCTATATAACAAATTTTAATGAAATTGAAAATAAATTTATAAAAATATACAATTTAAGTTGGAATCAATTTGTATATATAAATATTAAAAATTAAACCAAATTCATAGCCTAAAATAAGAATTACGAGTATGTATTAAGATTAATGAAATTGTTTGTGTACTTTAATATATTTAAAAATATTTTCTTAAAATAAGGCCTAAATTACAATAGGGATTTTCATGTAACCATGCAAATTAGTCTAGTATCGGGAAATCGGAGCATTTATACAAATTTGTAATAGATATTTTGGTTGTTTCATGTATAAAAAATACGCACGGATTCTTTTTTCTTAAACTACAGTATACTCGGCCTAAAACCATAGTGGATAATTTAAATATTAACTCGTATATATGTATATTTTTATTTATTTGACAATTCGTTTGACATTTTTTTTAGAAATTCCAGTAAACACTTCTGGAAAGGAGCCTCTAAACATTTATTTTAACAAATTTTTTACTTTGAACAAATAAAATATTCTCTTACTGTTCCCATAAGAAAACATTTTTTGATTTTATTCTGTACTGATGAACAGTTATGTGAAAATTAATTAATATTAATTATTTCAAATATTTCATACACACATTCTTATATATTTTAAGTGAAAAATAATGTTATGTTATGAAAGAGTATTTATTTTGCTTCTTAATTTTCTTTAGTTCTTCAATATTGTTTTAGATATCAAGTTTATAATATTCGTAAGTTTGAAAAGAAAGGAAATTGGATCTATTTTTTTGGAAATTTATTATAATATTGTTAAATTTTTCCTAAAGATAGAGAACTATCTTGATCTACTACAATTAAATGAAAATGTACTGGGAAATGAAAAGGCAGCAAATGAAAATTTGAATTATACAACATACATATAAGAAAGTGTTATACGATGTATTTCATATATGCTATATACTAAATTTAATAATTATTATTTAATGAAATCGAATTTAAATACAAATACTATATCTGTTTAAAAAAAAAATTATAATTTTTATTAATTTATTTAATAATAATTGAGCAGATAATTGTGAATCGTTTATTTTGAAAGTGATTCAAGTCAATTTGTAATCTCAAAATTTTTTCATTATACATTATTTATGTATATTTGGAATTGATTCCAAATATAAATTAGTTTTTTCGAAAAATAAAAACAGTTACAACACAAATTATGACTTGCCCCTATTTTGAACCCATTTTCACTTTCAAAAAAAAGATCCACGCATATTTACATTAAATCGAAGCAGATTCAATTATTTAAAAATTATTAGACACTTATAGCTATAATAGTAATATACATTACAAATTTATATAAAATGACAATCAATTATAAAAGTTTTACAAATTTATCAATTAATTATAAAAGTTTTATATAACACATTAAAGTTGTTAATTGCTGTGTATGTAAATAATTATTTATAATTTATTAATTAATCAGATCCACAATCACAATCATAGTCACAATTGCTGCACATATCACAACAACAACAATAAATATTACAACATCCTCCACTATCATTATCATTAATGTTATTAGAATTACAATTACAATGTTTACGAAAAAATGAATCAATACACGACTCCATACAGGAGCAATCACCATCAGAATCCATTTCTAGATCTAATGATTTTGAATCATCTTCTTTTTTCTCTTTTTTCTTTTCATTTTCTTTATCTTTCTTCCTTTCTTTTTCATTAGTCTTTTCATCTAAGAGATTATTTTCTCCTTTAATCGGTTGTGTTGTTATAGTATCAGAATCCAATAATTCAACTGTATCCAATTTCGTTTTATTATTATCTTTTGCTAATGTAGCTTTAATTGAATTTGTAATATCTGCTGTTATTACAGAGACTTTCTCTAATAAAGGGGTGGAACTAGTTAATGACATTTTCAATTTTTTCTTTTACTATTATAATTAATATTCAAAAGTTTATCAATATTATTCTGATATTTAATAAATTAATGATAATTAAATTTCGTAATATGCTTTTAGTTGAATATTTCTCGTATTTGTAAATGTAGTCAAAAATATACCGGATATACTGTTACATATTTTTATTATGCTGCGTTTAATGCAATTTACTCCGTGTTTTCTTGTAGTTTTTAAGAAGAATATATAAAACTTTTATTCTATGAAATATTTTGTGCGACTGATTCAAATTCAAATCTTTAAAAAAAGTTGATGTAATGTAAATTTTGGCTTTGTCTATAATGTAATTAGAAAATTTCACGAACATTTTCTTTTTCATTCCATTTTCTTGAAAGCTCTTAATTCATTTAAAGGATGTCTATAAGAATATACGTAAACAAAATATTAATTTTGCACAAATTCATTAGGGTGGGTATAAAAAATGTTTGCCTATATACTTTTATACTACTATATACTTAATCATACTACCACAATGGCAATTTAATATACATGATTATGATTGTATATGTATAAGCTTTTCTTGGAAGCTTGTAATACCATTTAATTTTCATTATCGTTTATCATAAGGGTTATTCTATAAACTAGACCATTTCCTCTAAGTGTCTAATATATCATTTAATTACATATTATGTATGTTTTATAGTGTAATTGAAAGACATACTTTAAATAAAACTTTAAGCATAAGATATTTGTTTTTTAGAATTCTTTGAAAAATTTAGAGTGAATTAGCAAGAAGTAAAAGGTAGTATAACAAGTGGTAGATCCAGATTATGACAGAAAAGTCCAAACCCAGACTTTTTTTTTAATTGTCTTACTTTAAAAACAATTTGTTTTCATAAGATAAATTGAAGGATCTTATTTTGAAACATTTTAAAGTCCCATAAACAGAATGCCATGTATAAAATGAAGTTCCTCGAGGCTCAGGCACTCATGCAAGTTTTAGATTTGCCACAGTTTGATTGCTTATTTGCATTCCATTGATTTACGTTCAAGCGGGCATATATGGAACTGTATGATATAGCGACTGAACCGATAGTAAGTACAAAACTAAAAATTGCATGCCTGTTCAAGCTTTTACAGTATTTCATTGTGGAACTCTATTGTGGCATTGTTATATTTCATATTACACATGTAATATGAAAATTTCTATTGTACATATACATAGGTTGGTTTATATACATAGGACATTGTTTTATTATTTTTCTAATTAAATAAAAATTTTAAATAACAAATTAAATTTTGGTGCATAAATTCTTACTAAGCTGTATAGCGTTCTAAATAAAATTTGTGTAGGTACATACCTTCATGGTTACTTATGTACATTTTAGATATTTGTAATTTTAAAAAGAAAATTGAGCATTAATGACAAAGATATAACATAAGTATGTACATGAATGTACATATATTTTGTATCGTTTATTTTTAAAATATGTATGTGCATATGTATGTTTATGTGAATTTAAAATTCTTTTGTAATAACTTGATTTCAATTTTCCAATAAATCTACAAAATATTCTATTATTAAAATATTCTACAGCGTTATTACAACAGGTTTTAATATAATTAATTTATAAATTATATGACGAAAAAATTTACAGAAACAAGATTACTGAAGTTAGAAATTTGATTACATACATAATTAAACCTATAATAAAATACATATGTACATATGTACAATATAAATGAAGCAATTTTATTAATATTTTTGGCGAACGAAATACCAGATACTCGTAGATGGATAAATTAAGAAATGTTATAATAAATACATTTTTTTTCAAGTTCAAAGTAAAAAATTATAATATTAGAAGAATAAGCGAATTATTCTAAGAATCTATAGAAAGAAAAAAGCTTTAAAATTTTATAAAAAAAAAACTTTAGTACATTAATATAAACACATGCATATGTACATTCGAAGTATATATCGAATATCTATGTGTATAGAGGACACATATACCCGACCCGCATTAATTTTTAATGTTGGAAATTCCACATTAATTTTTTTTTTTTTTTTTCATTTTAATTTTTTATATAATGTTTGCATGTTTGTGTAGATGTCCATGAATGTATTTTCTTTCGCTTGAACAGCGATTAATTTTGACTTTTGAGTCATCTTTTAATTAATCAGATGTCATTATTATGTTTGGTCAACATTAAGTGTTAAATTTAGCAATAATTTATGATAATTTGGTAGTTGATAATAGCAATCGGCAATGCAACATAAGAATTAATTATGGTTTATTCATTTGATAATTTGTTTTGATACTCGTAATTTATTAGTATGTATGAATATAGTTATTAGAAAAAAAATTTCTAATCCATTAGATTTGAAACAAACAATTTATCGAATTGGGCCGAATACATTATTATATTTGATTAATAATAAATTCAAGATATTGAGTATTATAGAAAAATAAAACAAATAAATGATTTTATTTATTATAAAATAATATGAATTATACAAGTTATACATGTACATATGTATGTATGAGTATGTATACATAGTATTTACTTATAAATTAATACACATGTATTGTTAAGTAACACTACTTTTAGGCACTCGTCTATTTTCATATCATGCTTATATTACGTATTCTATTCGTTGTACAGAAATATGCATTTTATAAAAATTTATATAAAATATTTAATACTATTATACATGTTCTTAAAGTTTTATTCCGAAAAAAAGACGTACACATATTTAACGAAATAACAGATATACATTTATAGCGTTTTTTTGACATTTCTTCTACATAATCGAGCAACTTCCACAGTCGCAATCACAATTTCCACAGTCACAATCTCCACAGTCACAATCTCCACAGTCACAATCACCACAGTTACAATCACAATCTCCACAGTCACAATCACAACTTTTACAATCAGCTGCAGTTACAATAGCTCTGCATGAATGACAGCAACAATCACAACAACAATCAATACAATCCTCATCATTTGAAGCAGGAACCGCACCATCTACTACGTTCCCGTTTGAAGACCCATCACAACAACAATTACCACAATGTATAGTAGGGCGGCAGCAACAAATACAACACGGATCGCCCGAATATATGGGAGAAACTGAAGTTGTATACTGTTGTCGCTGCGATTGTTGTGTATATGGCTGTTCTTGATGCATATATGGTGGAGGTTGCTGAGTTATTACATATTCATTGGAGGATGGTAAAAGGGGTGCTGATGGTTCCGGTTTCTCTTTTAACGCAACATCATTTATATTAACCGGAGATTTTGTAGAATATTCGCTTTTAGTTTCAATAGCCGGTATTTCACCATTAATATTTTTTGAATTTTGAGAAAATTCGGTTAAATTTCCGTTTTGATTTGGAACTATTTGATTTTCATTATTTGATGATGTAATAGTGGGTGCAACATAGTTTTCTTGCAATATAGTATTATTTGAATGTTCAGAAGACTTATGTTTTCTTAATTCATCTAAAGTTTGAAATTTTTCATTGCATAAATCACATTTATAAATTAATAGTTCATCTGCCATTTATCTAAATTTAAAAAAAAAAAACAACTACAAAATTAATATTATAAAAGCATTTATTTATGCGTCTGCATGTATGTAAACAATAACAAATTTAATAAAATTTTAAACGCGCAACAAAAAATCTCCGATGTTAACTTATATTCTCAATATGTTTCACTAAACTTAAAAACATTTGTACCTTGTTTTTATATGAGCACATTATTATTAGTTCATGAATATCTTTTAATAAAATTAACATACACATGTATGAAAACTGGCGAAGAAACATACTATAGAAATAGTATTCACACATTTGTACATTTATATACATATATACATACTGTTGTTTATACATATATTTAGTAGAATTTCACGTACTACACAGAATAGTACGTAATGAAAAAAAAACATAATTTTTATATAAAAAAGAGATGGTAATATCCATGATTTGCAAACCATGGTTGCTACATTACCACTACTAATATAACAAAAGTTTTTGATATTTCACCTTCCAAATGAAAAAAAAATAATGTTTGCAGTAAAAAAAGGAAATATACATTATTACATATTAATTTTAATATTTGGATATAGAACCAGTGTGCACGCTTATCTTAGCGTTTTTCAATCATTTTCTAACGAGAAAGGAAATATATCAAGTAAAACGAATATTTCTTGTCCGAAAAAGATTTTGGACTTTCGATCTGTTGATTTGTTCTTCATTTTTTGCGTGTCTGAATTTTCGATATTGGCGGTTTAATATCAAAAATTTCAATTAGACTTCAAAAAATTAAAATTCAATTGAAAATTTTATATTTTCAATTCATTGATACAAAAATTTACTACAGAAATATAGGTTTGCTAGCATTAAGCTGATATTTTGTTCCACAATCCATTCAATAAAAGTAATGAGCGCGGCTTATATTCTCTAAATTCATTTTATATTGCTCATATATGCCTATAACATATCGATATGTATTGCTTAAGATATAAGCACACTCTTGCTTAATGCTTAAATATAAGCACAATGCCCAAGAAACATAAACTTTAATTTTTCATACATGTACATGAAGTTAATAGAATTCCAAACAGAATTCTAGCTTTTAAAAAAAAATTACACAGTAAAAACATAACTGTATTGGTTGTTTTTCGCAGTAAATACAAGCTTATGTATGTATCTTTACACCATGTGCACGGCTTCCTAATTTCAAACCTTCATTTCAATTTCAACCTTCATTTTTTAAAGAAGAGAATAAGTATCTACATACAATATAATTTATGTAGTATGTAATACGTCATTTTAGGAGACTAAATTATTATGATATGGTATATAAATACCGTCATCGGTATTGTAATCTTGAGTGCTTATAATTAAAAGTTTTAAAATAAATTATTGCATAAAATTGAAATAAACTTTGGCTTTTAATATTATGTACATTTTTAATTTTAATGAGATTTTTGCGGTTCGATACATGCATATAGGTTTAACTTTATTTAAAAAAAATTATTTTCCAAAATTTGGGCAAAAAATGTGGAACGCTTCACGATTTTGCGTGTCATCCTTGCGCAGGGGCCATGCTAATCTTCTCTGTATCGTTCCAATTTTAGTATATGTTCTGCCGAAGCAAGAACAAGTATTTATGCAAAAAGTTTTCATATATACTGATGTACTTACAATATTTGTATCTGTGAGTTATAAAATAAAACAAAATTTAATGTTGAATACCCATTTTTTCTGTATGTATTAGGATTTTTTTCTGCATGCTCTACAAACTGTATGAGTACATGCTTTTAAAAATATTTTTGACATTCTTAATTTGTTTATGAACTTTTCTTTAATTTTTAAATAAAACAATGTATTATGTTCAAATTTCAAATTTTAATTCGAGATATTTTTTTATTAATAAATGTAATATTAACGAAAAAAAGTTTTTACAATTTAGTTTAGGTTAGGTGTTTTTATCCTCGGAAATATTAAAATCAAACATACTTTTTGACTTCAAAGGTTCTAATAAAAATTTTTTAGCATTTTCAATTGTATTCTCATTATTTTGTTCTGCAATTAATGCATTCTCAATCTTATGCAATTCGAAATCAATAAGTTCATTTTGTTTCTCTTCTTTTTCAATATTTCTAAAACCAAATATATATTAAAATTACAATATGACATGTGTTTATATTTTTATATCAATTACTAACTCTTCTAATTCCTTTATTTTCTTTGAAGCTTGGATTTCAATGTTTTTAAAAGTTTCCATTTCTTGCTGAAGTGCCGCTTTCTTATTATTGATTTGTATAACGTTTTGCTCAATTAACATTTTTGCTTGATCATTTTTGTTTTCGAGGAAATTTTCCATACTATACAGATCCGTTTGCTTTTTTGCAATTGTACTGCGATAATAGGGAGTAAAATTGTAAGAAAGGATTATTAAAAATAGTTTTTTAATGATACCTACCAGTGCTTTTCGAAAACTTTCAATGAGTAAACTTCCATGATATTATCACCGTATTTAAGAAATTCTTCTAGTTTGTTTAAGGTAATTTTCGTTTGACGATTTCGATCCATGACAGCGTGCTCTATTTCAGATTGCTCTTCTAATTCTTTCTCAATGACAATTTTTTTCCTATGAATTACAAGAAGATAATACTAATATTTATATGTCGATTACTTAAAATTACCGTTCTATCGAATCAGCTTCCTCATTCGTTACAATTTTTGAACACAAATGTAATTTTTGATCTCTCAAATTAGCTAAGCGAGATTCTGTTTCATTAAGTTTAGTTTGTAGCTGCTCAATTGTTCGGCTCTGCTTATTTTGCACTGAGATTAAGTGCTCTATTTGGTCACTAATTTTTGGGATTTCTTTATGATATTTTGTTCTTAGCTGTTCATTCTAAATAAGAAAAATACTAGAACAAGATCCAATCTTTGAAAAAATGCTATCTGATATTTTTTATACATTACATTTTTTTCTTCTAATTTCTTTGTTTGAATTTTATTGTAAATTTCCTTATATTCATTAATTTTATTTATTGTAGGGTCAATTACATCCACTTTCATCATGTTAAAAAATAACAAATAATTTAGAAGATATTTCAATACATGGTAAGTTTTCTTAGGAGCTTAAATAAAATAAAAATAAAAATATTTACAGAAAACACTTAAAAGTTATTTACTTACTAGGATTCACTAGGTCAAAATAAGTAAATGGTTGTGAAGTTTCATTACCCAATTTATACAAATGATTTATGTAAGAACATAAATTCACTTTAAAATTATGTCGAACGGAATGGTTTTCACTGCTTTGGCGCTAAATAGAATTTCATATATATAATATTCTCTCCAATATAATGTACATATGCATTTTTTATACCTCTCTTAGTAAGTTTATGGCAAACCCAAACTGCTCAAGGTAATGAAGAAGAATATTGGTTAATATTGTTTCATTGGGTATTCGCAGATCTGATTCTTTAATTTTAAGTTGCATGACATTATTCCATTCAATTGAAAATTCCTTGTATGTAACCATTGTTTTTTTGGTATTTTATCAACTTAGTGTACCAATTTAATCAATTAACATTAACAAAATTTCCAAAAACTAATGAAATTAGTAATATGTTTTAAACAAAATTCTTTGTAGACCCTTAAAAGATAAAAATTTTTTCAAAATTTGAATGTCAAAATAAACAATTTAAAAATGAAATTTCTGTTGACTTCTTGAATTTTGACATTTGTTTATATCTTGTTTATAGGGTGATGTTTTAATTGTGAATATTTTGTTCGTAATAAATAATGGTTGACATCTATAAAATGCTTGTTTTTCTTGCATGAAAATATATGTGAAAGAGAATACGAAATAATTTGTTTCATGAGTTTTTCTCGAATAAATGCCAAATTTGCAATATGTACATTTTTCTTATTTAAAAATACTAAAGGCATAAAATATTGTTTTTTTTTTATTTAGCAATGGATATCAAAATAGAAAACTTTAAGAATTTTGTTACACGGTAACACATCTTTCAGGTGCGTTTCGAAAAATTGTAATTGTTTTTCAAATTGATTTTGATTGATCAAAAGACAAAATCAAAACAGTTTGTTTTATTTTATTTCTTAATAGTATTCCAAAAAATTGGCGCGCCGGAAAATTGGCATTTTTGTTTTCCATAAATATTGATACAGTAATTTTTTTTTTATAAATAAAAATACGAATAATGGCTTCAAAACATGCTTCACAAAATGGTATTAATGGAGTTTCACCAAAAAAACAAAAAATTGAGAATTCAAATTCTATGAATAAATTCATATTTGCGGGACAGGACTATTCGAAGCAATTTTACAATCTCTATTCATTTCGTTTGGCAGAAATGACTAACTTGTTAAAAAAGAAAGTTGAAAAAAGTTGGGGTAAGTTCCACAGCATTAATCATAATTGTGTGAATTCTTATATACCCTTTTAAATTAGGAAAAGATGTACCAATAAAAAAATTATGTGATCTACGTGAAGAAGAGCAATCAAAATGTATTATTATAGGAACTTTGTTCAAGCATCAAGTAATAACACAAAAAATATCTTAGACAGATTTTTATATGAAACTTGGTTGCTTTTTTCAGCAATTAAAACCAAGTATTTTACGTGAAATTTCTGAAGAAAACCAATTGGCTCCACAACCTCCAAGAACATACTATGTTAGTGAAAACGACAAGCTAATACTTGAAGATGAATTACAAAGAATCAGGTTAATTGGCAAGGTTGATGTCCATACTTTGGTAACAGGTGTTGTTTGCGCTGTTAAAGGTAATTTATTAGATATTTTTAACTTTAAAAACGTATATTTCTTATTTATATGATGATATGCATTTAAAAAAATTTCTGGATGGACTATAAATATCATAGGAAAAGATAGTAAGTGAAGTGAACCAATATGAATGTTGAAATTTAATTTAACATTTCATTTTGATTTTAATTTTGTTTATTTTATGTTGCATAATAATACTTCACATAATAAAAACACTTCAATTGGTTAAAATATTGGAAAAATTGGAAAAAAAGTATCAAAATTATACATATGTATTCTCACATTAAATAATATATGATATAATATTGATAAGTGTCTTCATAAGCGCAATGTAAATATTTATTTTTAAGAACATTAATAGTCAATTGGTTTTGTAGATTGCTTTTGTATAGTTTATGAAGAAACGTTTTGTTAATAAACAAAAAATTTACAAAATTATCTATAGCACTAGGAAAAATGTAATGAATGTTTTCACATATATATATATACCTCATTTTCATATATTTTTGCATTGCATTTTAACGTTGCTTTCACAATATTGTTCGAAGTCACAATTTTTAATATTTTGTTTTTAATCAAAAAATTATTAACATAAGGTTATGTGGAATGTGATGGGAAATTTGAAGTCGAGGACATGATTTTTTATGAAAGCGGACCGCAAAAATCTTTGAAGATTCTAGACGAATCGCCTCTACTTGTTCTTATTTCAGGTTTTGATCAGGTTGGTATTCACAAATAATAATATTAACGTGATAAATGGATTCACTTCATTGTAATATTTTAGTCCACAGCATCTTTGCGCGAAGAGTCTCTGGACGTTCTTCAAAAGTGGTTGGGTGGGAAAATACATGACTTCAAGAAAACTGTTAAATATGAATCTTCTAAAATAATCCGAGTTATATTTGCCGGTAAATAAATATTCAGTTAATAACTACACAATATATAATTAACAATTAGAAATTTTGTTTAATTTATTTTAGGGAACTCTATAAGAGCGTCCGCAGAAGTTAAGGTAAAAGCTATACCTTCAAAAAAAGTTGAATTGTCCAGCACTATTGAAGATGTAAAAAATTTCGATAAATGGATATCGGAATGTGTTACAAAGACTCCTGTTGATTTAATGCCAGGAGAACATGATCCAGCAAATTTCATGTTACCACAACAACCATTTCATAAATGCATGTTTCCATTATCATCAAAATCACAGGACTTTAAGAGTACAACAAATCCTTATGAATTAGAGTTATATGGTCGAATCATATTAGGAACATCAGGCCAAAATATTGATGACATTACAAGAACGTCTAAAATAGAAGACAATTTAGAAGCTGCATCAAATATTATTAAATGGGGTCACATAGCTCCTACTAGGTAAGCGTTCAATAAATAAAAATGCATTTTGAGATACATTAACTTTAAATATTTAAATTTATCAAATCATTACTCAAAGAACATCAATTAAAAAAACATTGGGAATTATTCTAGAAATTGAATTACTAATGGGTACTGACATCGTAAAAATTTTGAAAAACATTTGCAAACAAAAATATTTTGTGTGAAGTTTGTTCATATTAATATTTTATTATTAATGAATTTTACAGGATTTTTTTGACTATTACTCGATTCTTAAAATAAGCCCTATTTAATTACAATGCCATCGAATTTTTTTTTTTTAAATTTTTACATAACTGGACCCTTAAGTTTAATTTTAATTAAGTTTTTCTTTTTTATTTTACAAGTCCTGACACTTTGGCATGTTATCCATATACCAACAAAGATCCATTTATAATTCAGGAATGTCCACATATTTTTTTCGTGGGTAACATGAACAAATTTCAAACAACAGTGCGTGAAGGTAAATTGTCTTTTTTTTTTTTAAAAAGTGTAAGTGTTAAACGTTGGTTAATGAGATTATTTTTTTAGGTGAAGATTCAACTAAAACTAGAGTTATATGTGTTCCATCGTTTACAAAAACTCAATCTGTTGTTGTAGTAAATTTAAGGACACTTGATTGTGAGGAAATAAGCTTTAATGTAACAGCAGAATAATAAGATAATATACATAGGCATCTTTGTACATACATAACTATTATTATTTTAAAAGTTATTCAAATGTGAATTTTGATAAATACATATGTATGTACGTATATATAAAATTTACTTTTGATAATTAAGTTGTTTTATTGAAAAGATAAATGCATGTTATTTTTTTCCCAAAATGCAATCTTAAGGAAAAATAATGAAAAGAAAAACCAAATTGTTTGAATACACATTTTATTAGAATGTTTCTTATAATTACTTTTTTTTATATAATTTGACATTTTGGTAATTGATACAGTTTTTCAAATAAATTTTTAAAATTTTTTATGCATACTAAGTATATGTATATTTGATGGTTTTTTATATAGATATATATGTATATATATATATGTGTAATTATAATTATATTTATACGGTTGTATATTTTTGTATGTATGTATTTCTATAATCACGTTTTTTAAATCAAAATTCAAGTTAAATGTTACTTTTCTTTTCAATAATTGTTGTGAAAAATAATTTTTCCTATTTCGATAAATTAATAATTTTATTATGTCCATATTAACTCAACGTAAACTAATATATCACAAATAGGTATGTATATAAGGATGTTATAAAAAAAGGTAGTTTTATTAAATATTTCGGACATAAAAAAACTTTCTATGTTTTGAAGAGCCTTTAAACATTTTAAGTTTTTATTTTGATATTTATTTTGTGTTGCAACGACCATTTATGTATTTGGATTATGGAATTAATTCATTCTATATTTTTATTTTCAAAATTTAAAAAGGTATCCATACTCTTCTAAAATACACATTTAAAACATTTGCAATATTCAGGAGTAGACTGCTATTCTTACTCAAAAGTTTAGAAAAAATGTTTACCTTTTCAATGTTTACCCTTTTTGGAAAGCGGAAAATGTAACGAAAAATATTGAAAAATATTCGATATAATAAAATTGGAAATCGTTGGGGTAGAATTGCCGTAATTTGTTTAATTCCGTTAGTATTCTTTCGCATTTAAATATTTTTTTCCCATTTATTTGAATTATGAGAGGTTGTTAACATATTTAAGAGCCATTCCTTGTAACAATTCTGTAAAATCTCTTAAATTTGCAATATTTCAATGGAAATTGAAAGTTTAGTTAATTTAGTCATTAATTTTTTTGAAGAAATATCATAAGTTGACATTTTTTTAAAAATATAAATCATATTTATAATTTTAAGAAAATATCAACTTCTTAAAACAGATTTTTCTTATTATTATAAAGAAATCTGACAAGTAACGGCTAATTTTAATATTCTATACTAATAAAAACTAATTTGAAGGAAATTAATGAGTTTACATTTAAATATTTTTTTTTATATTTAAGCTTTAATAGTTTTTCCTTTTTATCTTTAGTTTAAGTAGTTACTAAATTGAAAGTATGGTTATTTATTTACTTTAAAGCCATACCACTTATAATCCGAGAAAATGATTGAAAATTTTGAAATTTCAAATATTTATAGAATTTGAATTTATTAATGTTAAAAAACATATTCAAGTTCTAATAAATAATGAGTTCTGTAACTAAATGTAAACATTAAATTTCAATAATTATTTTTCACAGAACATATAAAGATATGAAATACATTGCTTCATATTTCAAAATTTATATTTTGTAATTTTTGAATTTTTAAAATATAGATTAACATTTATATTAAGCATTTCTTGTTTTTCAATAAAAAAATTGGAGCCGTTTGATAATTTTCCAAAATATTTTGTTATATAAATACATACATTATAGATTTAATTTTTTTTTATTTTGATAATTGTATATTTCGATAATTTTTATATAAATTTTAAGAATTTTCTTACATTTTAGATATTGATAAACACTTAAATTAATTTTTTTTAATTATAATTTCAATTGTCATCTTTTAATAGTTTGCTTATTCAATTTATATAAATATGTCCTTTAGTTTATAATTGTATAATTATATTCTATATAATAATAATTTATGTATTTTAGGTTTTTTGTTTATTTTAAAATTTATTTAATTTACATCGATGAACATATCGTTTGTTCTTGTGGTGTTGTTTGTGCTTTTAATCTAATTTGAGATTTTCTCTGGGCCATTAGCGCTTCATATTCAAGCCCTTAGCGTTAATATTTGATTGTATAAGATAATGAATTATTTTTTAATAATTTTTTTTAATTAGTTGTTGGAATTGTTGTTTTTTTTCATAATTATTAAAAAATTATTGTTGATTGATGCGCAGTGTTTGTGGATAATTTTTTGGTTTAATTTATTGATTGGTAATATATAAAGTTCCATCAGCAGAAAAATTATCAAAATGTAAAAAATAATAATATGTTAAAAAAAGAAATTTTACTATTTTTTATTATATTTTTTTAAACTTAATTAAAAGGGTTTAAAAAGGAATTTTTTTCCTTATTGAGTTTGATATATATATAATTTTGGTTTAAATTTAACCTATAATAATTCTAGATTTTTAAATAAATGTCGAAACATTTTAGTTTTATCAATTAAGACTTGTTTAAATTAAATGAAAAAAGCTAAATATTCACATAAATGCACAACAAATCCAGTATTATGTATTAAGAAAAGGCTGATACTCTTGATTCCTTTTGAATTAGTCAATTTTTTGAATAATAAAATAAAGTTATAAATACCAATATTTTTTTATAATATTAGGTACGTAAGTCAATTAAATGATTTTCTTCCTTTTTGTAATGAAAACAAACTAATTTATCACTTATAACTTAAAGTGATTTGAGTATTTTGTTACAGTAATTATTATTATAGGTTAAAATTAAAGGTTTTGAAACAAAAATTTCAAAAATTGTTGACGGCATATAAAATTTATATAAAGACTTAAAAAAATTTCATTGAAAATTAATATGGGTTTACTTCTATTATATATACATATGTAAAAGCATATAGATATGCTATATGATAAATGAATATGCCTTATCAAATGTATTTAAAACCTTTAAGGGCTATTCCATAAAATATTTTATGTTTAATCGCCGCAAAGTGTGAACTATTTTTTAGTTGAATTACTGGAAAATTATATACTGGCTCTAAGGAATAACCCTTAACTTGTAAGATCTGGAATTATAAATATGAATATTGTGATTCATTTTTTTTGTTTACTTAAAGTCATGAAATTCGGTTGAATGCAGTTTAATTTTAAATTTTAAATATTATATTTTTAGATATTAGAAATAGATTCATGCAAACTTTCTCTTTTTTGGTTTTTTTTTATTTTTATGAAATACATTTAAAAGGAAAATGTATTTTTATTTACAAAATGGATGGATTTAAATATAATAAAAAATATTTAAGAATTATGATCTATTATGTATGATTTTAGACATTATGATAATTTTAGACCAAAGATTTTTAATGAATATTTTGTATACATATATATGTGCATGTATATACGAAAATTTTTGATGAAACGATGCTTTGTACCACAAGCACTATCTTGAATTTGCAAGTTCTACAGCACGTCATTCCGAAATCCGAATACGTTAAAAAATATACACCGTTAATAATATTATCAATATCTTTAGTGGGTTAATGTCAACAATATACTTTATAAGATCTGGTTTGTCAAAAAAATCGTAAAGAGCAATGTTTATTTCCAAATTTGCATGTTGACAATGTTATTAATCTAGCATAACACAAAAATCGCAAAAATATTCACAATATTATTTTTAGTATATATTCCCTAAGATTCGGAAATTTTACTTTTATATTAAAGAAATTCCAATATAAATTTCCAAATTACCTCTATTTAATATTTGACTTTCTTCATTTTTGTTATTATGATACAGCTCCTTAATATTTTTATTGAACAAGAGTTCAATAAAGATGAAATTTTTAAGATAGAAAACAATGGTATATGAATGTTTTAAAGAATAGCATTTTAAAAATAGAGATTGAGTTGTTCATTGAGTATGTATAATAAAAATAAAAACTTAAACATAATTTTTTACAAAGAAAACAATGTTCATTCACATGGTATGTGTTTTTAAAACATTCTCTTAAAAAATAATAAATTTGAAAGAGAAAACTAAATATGTAAGTTCAATGATTAAGCAAATGTAAAATTAGAAACGAAAATAAATTCTATTGAAAATCTATTATTTAAAATCTACTATTCATCTATCCCAAGATTGGGGTACTTTTATTTGCTTGATCTCCACTGCCGCTGACACATGTTGGTATTGCATTCGACCATTTACCATTGCGCAAACATTTTAACATTTTAGCACCACGTAATTCTAGTCCAGCATCGCATGTAAACGTAATACTTTCTCCAATTGCATAATAAAATTTAACTGAGGACATTCGACCACTGATTGCGGTACCAGGATATGAGCATGCTTGTACGCATTTCGGTAAACCACCTGACCAACGTCCATTATCTTGGCAGGCAATAATTGGTTGACCTTGCATCATATACTCTGGATTGCAATTAAATTGGACGACATCACCAGCTCTATAGGGTGCACTGCCTTGAGCATATCCTTGAAATAAAGAAAGATTAAGAAAAGTTATAATTATATGTACTTACATTTTGAAATATTAATATAAATTTTGAATTTGTTATGTTCTTACATACCATTTTGAGGTGCACCAGGATTATCACATTGTACTTCAACACAAGCTGGAAATGGTGTTGACCATTCTCCAGATGGCAAGCATATTGATTCAGCACTACCTCTTATTCCGTATCCAGATGGACATGAAAAAGCTGCTCTACCACCCACTTCACGTGAGAGAACTGATACACGTATTGGTGTACTCTCATTTGCCAATATTGGTATATCACCACATTCAACACTTTCGCACACTGGTAATGGAGCACTCCAATTTCCAGATGGTAAGCATATTAATTCTGAAGCTCCAATTAATGAATTGCCATTTGAACATGATAATTGCACTCTAGCACTTAATTTTGTATCGTTACTATTTACAATAAGTCCTCGTCTCATCGGAATATCAGGACAATTTATTGCCTTTACAAGAATTTCGACGGAATGCTCATGTCTGGCTGGTGTTGCACAAGTGTATATACCAGAATCTTCTTCGACAGCTTGTACGATACTTAAACGGTATTCAAGATTTGGGTCTCGAGCTTCATCTGTCACCCAACCTTCCGGATATTCTCTAAAAAAATTAGATAAAATAGAATAAGTTTAAATGCGATGTACTGGAAATGTAAAAAATGAGATTTACCTGTTTTCGTGACTAACATTCCATTTCGGTTGGCCAAATCGTCTCATCCACAAACATTCCATATGAACAGTTGTTCCTGGGTAAACAATTAATTTACCATCATTACTTTGAGCAATTGGACCATTCTCATGTCGAAACAATACTGTTGGTGCCTTCTCCACTAATTATTTTCAAAATTCAGAGTTTAGAATTTTTTAATATTTAGTATTTTATAACTGCTTTTTTTTGTATGTTTACAATGAAAAATGTAAGTGGGTAAGAGCTTAGTAAGATGTGCAGAGAATCTAATACTTTCTAATCAATAAAAATTCATTAAAATATTTTATATAAATTTAGAAGTGATAAATATTGTGGAAAATATTGGATTCAATCTGCTCATTTCTCACTGGACTCTAACTTACTTGCATAATCATTTTCTTGATTTAAGCCAAGACATTGTGGTTTTACTCCAGTCCATTCTGAATGAATACATGTTCTTTCGTTACTACCAACAAGAGCAAATTTACCAATATCAACACATCTACAAATTTTATTCGATTAGACGTTTCTAAGTTTAAGATTGTCTAGATGAAAATTACCTTGAAATAATTGTAGCACCTGGAGGAAATTCAACATATTCTTCACGGATTTCTTGATCATTGTAAAAGCTAACAACATTAGGTTCATTGTTGCGGAATAAACAAGTTCCGTTTTCTGTAAAAATATCAGTTTTAATATTTTTTATTATTTACAATTTAAATAGCAGTTATTAAGAAAATCTTTTTACCGCAGCTGTATGCTCTACCAATCCAGTTTCCATCTTCACAAATAATTTTCCAAGTGTTACGTTCTCCTGCATGCCCTGCAATACAATTAAATAAAATTTCTGTCCCATGAGAAAAGCCTTCGTCTTCTTCCTCATCAATTGGTTCCCCATTTCTTCAAAATAAATTTAAATGAATTTAATATTCGAACGAGATATTCATTCTTTTATTTCGCACATTCATTCTTACCTGTAGACAAGGTATCCTTCTTTTTCTTTCATTGGTCTCTCACAATCTCTTCCACCTGCTTGGCTTTCACCGGTTTCCGTAGTATTACTTACCTCTTTCGGTGTATAAAGTCCAATCTGAGCTTTATTTAGTGGAGCTCCTTTAGGAGGTCCGGTATTTATCAAACTATTCAAGGGGTTTTCTCCATTTCCAACAAACTCAGCTTCACCTAAATATTCTTCACGAGGTTTTTTATTTCCGATTTCGCAGTGTATCGTACTAGGTGACATATTGCCTCTGTTGCACACCATTTGTATTGGTAAATTGTTGGTCGGGTTGTCACAGTGTACTGTTACCGAACTTCCATGAGCTATGGTTAAACCGGATCGATATCCTCCCTGAATTTAAAATAAAAGTATTAAATGTATAACAAGTTTTCCTTTATAATTACTTCATATATAATATTTGGTATTGAAGGTAATATACAAGGTAATGGAAGACATTCTGGAAAAGCTGGCACCGACCAACTTCCATGAACACACCTAAGTTGCGCTGCTCCCTATTGAAAAGAAAAATATTCGTTAAACTAATATGAAACAATGTGAAAATTTTATGTTATTTACTTGAACATTGTATCCTTCCTCACACTGAAATGTTATAATTTTTTCATTTTCTATTTCTTCGTATGGAATTAAAGGTCTGAGTTCTGGGTTATCTCTTAGCATATTTGGATCTGGTTCAACTTCAAAGTATTTGCCATGTTCTGTTGATGGAACCGAACAAGGAGCTGAAATTGGAAAAAAGCAATAATTTATTTTATGAATTACTATAATTTAGTAATTTGAAACTGCTCCTACCCGACTGACAAACAGGTTTTTGAGGCTTCCACATTCCTCTCACACAACGTGCAGTTGCATTAGGATTTCTTATATTTAATTTAAAACCCGGATTGCAAGTTATCAGTAATATTGTTCCAGCAGTAGTTTTTCCTGGTGTTTTTCCTGGTCGTAGAACCGTTACATTTGAAAATGAGTCCCAATCTAAATCTTCACATGGTCCACGTGGAACGCCTTTTTTTTCTTCTTTTTCTTCATCTTGTTTTCCATCTTCTTTTATATCATCAAAATCATTCGTGATTTGTCTTTTTCGTCTTACTATTTGAGCTTTCAGTTGCTCAATTAAACTAGTTAGATCTTTTGCATTTGATGTGTTGTTGTGAATAGCACTTTTTACGAAATTTCTTAAACTGTTATCAATTATAGTTTTCGGTGATTTGACAGAAAAGTAATTTTTTGGTAAAAAGTTATCTTCCGATTCTAATTCGGATTCTAATTGAGTAGACTTTTCGGCTGCAGATTCCACAGTAGTAGTGCGCTCTTCAGGAGGTAAATTTTGATTTATATCTGGTATAGATACTTTTATGGTTTGTGATTTGTTTCGATTCGCTTGCTTTTCAGAATGGTCACCATTTTCAGTTCCATATTCTCCTAAATCGTTTGATGCAGTACGTGATTTATGTGTTACTCTATAACGAGTTATGGACTCTGTATTTGGATTACTATAATCATGATACCATCTACCATCTTGCACTTGAACTTTTTTTGTAGGATTACTAATACCTTCTAAATATGGATATGAATCATGGGCTCTAGGGCGATTATAACCTAATAAATTTTTAACATAATTCTGATATTTTTGTTTTATTTTTTGATAATATTTTGAATATGCAAGATCCAGTTCACTTGGATCTCTTCTTACTCTATGATATGACCTTGAATTTTTTAAATTTGATAACATATTTCTATAAATTTTGTCATGTTTTGACATCAAATTTCTTTTATATTTAAGAATAGGATAGAAACTACCAAAGATTCTTTTTTTTCTATTGTATACGTCATTGTCTAAACTGCGTTTTCTACGCATAGACTTTGTATGATCAGAGTTTATTTGTTTTTCGTATTCATCTTTTAGCCAATGGTTGAGACGTCTGGCATTTTCCATTAAATATTTTGATCGTAAATAGCGCATTCGAATCGATCGTCTACGGCGTGTCCATCTCAATCTTGGATGTTGTCCGAGAATACATTGCGGTAATTCTTCTGGCCTCCACTTTCCACCAACACAAGTGGCGCCTGGAGGTCCTATTTCTAACACATATCCCTTGTCACAATCATACATAATTTGCTTATTGTTGGCAATTTTTTTGACATATGGTCTATAATCGTAAAGTCCCATATTACCTACTAATAGAACTTTACCGTTTTCAACATAACCTGGAAAAGAACAATAGACTTCCTGGCAAGCGGGTGTATTGCCAGTCCAATTTCCAAATGAACATGTTAAAACCCAGTCGTCGGCATTTGTTATTTCTTTACCATCAGGGGTTGTTAAATTGAAACCGTCTTTACATTTAAATCTAGCTTTCATACCATGTTCAGTTTTTGGAGCTAAAACCATACCATTTTTAGGAGGTCGGGGCATACTTTTGCAACGTGCTGGTATACACCTTGGTATAACACTCCAAGTTCCGTTGTTACAAGTCGGGGGATTCAATGATGATGATGGAAATTCATAATTTTCATCACAAATTACTTCTAATTCGGTACCATGTTTTACTTTACCAACCGATGTTATTACCATAGGTGTTGAAACAGTTGTCGCATTTTCATCTGGCACAATTTCAATTGGTATAACGTGTCCTTGTGATATTGTTGGAACAATACAAGGCGCTAAGCATTCTGGTACTGGATAACGCCATTTGCCATCAACTTGACATACTGTAGATGAATGACCTTGAATTAACATTTCAGGATGACATCGAAATATAATACTGGCACCAAGACCTGTTCCAGCCTCAATATTTTCTAACCAACCATTATATAGTACTCCAGGATGGCCACAATTTATTTCTATTTTTAAAGAAACAAATTTAATAAAGCGGTCTTCGAATATAAAAATTAAAATGCATTTTATGAAAGGAAATTCAATTTTAATCTAAAATATGTACCTTTACATTGCGGCAAAGAACCAGTCCATTTTTTATCAGCACCACATCTCCTTGAACTTTCACCAATTAACGTGTATCCATATCGACATTCATAGCTTACCACAGAATTATACGATGTTGTTGTGTATATAGCACGACCGTTTTTGGGAAATTCTGGTGTTGGACAAACAACTGAAGTTACCACTAAATTTGATTGAATAAAATAATAAAAACTAACAAAATGTTGACACTCATTAATTTCATAAATATTTTTATAATGTGTGGTATTTCTGGAATGGCATTTTCATAACATGTTGAAGGAAATTTCAAAGTTAGATAAGATAGCGCGTATTCGTTGCTTATGAGTGCAACAATTTTTATTTTCACATTGTTTGTATTTTTACTCATGAAGAGATATTAATTTGAATTTCTAATTTTCAAAGCTAAGAGATTTCGAAAATTTAAAACCCCAATCTAGTATTAGGATAAGTTTCAGTATTACAGAAATTTTTTTTCTAACAAAATTTATTAAAAGTCTTCATTTCTAATTTGTTTACTGTACTCCCTCTGTGAGATATTTAATAAAAAGCTTTGACAGCCAAAAATTAAATAAACAAAAAAATATAAGTATGTAAATAAAACAAAACTAACAAATACATAAGCTTGCCAAATGAACAAAAATAGTGCGTCTTCAAATATAATATTTTATGTAGAATTTTTATAAAACGAAAAATTATATTATTTTTTCTTTAGGGATTTTTTAATTTAGAGGAAATTAAAATTTTTTTTCTCTTGTTGTTTTTTTTTATTTTCATATAGTAATTAAAATAGTAGCTACCGCAAAATGTTGCAAAATTATTTTCCATCTATAATCTTTTACTCTTTATTTCAACAATTCAAAAATCCATGCTCAACTTAAAATATTATCAATGTATCATTGTTTAAATTGTTCATGTTAAACATATTGTTTATTTTTTTAAACAAAAAAAAGAGTTAATAGTTTTTATTAAATTGGCATGCTTATGTATTTGCAACAGTTATAAATTTATTTTTAAGTAAATAAATTTTTATTTCATTTTAAATAGTTTAATTATAATGTAAACAAGAAATTAAAAATAATGAAATAAGTAAATAAAACAACCATTATATATTTTTTGCGGTAACTATATTTTATTTACTAATCCATTTAATTTGTTAATTATTAAATAGAATTAATTTATATAAGATTAATTGAAACTTCTTTCATTTTAAATATTAATATTATTTATTACTATTGTAATTTTTTTTATTTTGTTAATAATATTTTGATTTTGCTTTGTTAGTTTTTAATTAATTTTTTGTGAATCTTGCAAACAAGTAATATTTATTGACAAATTGTTATTTGAATTCTTTAAAATTATGTTTTATAATAATTTTTGTTTTTATTTAAATTTAAATAATATTATTTATTTAATATCATAATAAGTGTATTATTTAATTTTAAAAAATATGAAGAATAAAATGATCATAACCTCAAAACTAAAATTAGTAGTAAGATCTTAATAAATAAATAACGATTTTAAAATGGTAAACAAAATATATTTATTTGGCAGTAAATATGGCAAATGTATTTATACATACATATATATATAATAAGCTCCATTGAATTTCATATCTTTGAATTCAGTGTATATTTAATTACAGAATTTTATTAAATTTTTATTTGTTTTGCGTGTATTGTACTTATTGTCAATAAACATTTTCTTAATAGAATGTAAGATTCTTCATCAAAATGTTGAATATAATATTACTATTCTTAAAAAAGGACCAAAATAGAAAAAAAAAAAAATCTAATTATTTAAAGTAAAGTAAATATTATAAGATATAAATGTAAGTTTAATTAAATTTTTAAATTTTAAATATTTTAAATATAATTTTTATTTCAATTTTTAATTTTTTTTTTAAATTTCAACGGGAATCTATATAAGAACACCATTTTTTTCTGAATTTTTTCAACTTGCAATATTATAATAAATAAATAAATACGTTAAGTTATAGTTATTAATTATATATACAAAATTTAAAAGGAAAAATTATATTTTTATATTTAAAATTTTTAAAACATTTAAATTTGAAATGCTGTAATAATTTTTTTTTATTTTTCCTATAATTCTACATAATTAATATAGAATATCAATTTTAATCCAAACATTTTAATTAATTAATATTATTAAATTTTCATGTTGTTATTTTTAAAATACATGTCGCTCGTTCACTGTTGCAGTTCACTGGCACAACTCAAAATTTTGCACATTTGATAAAATCTATTTTTGAGTTAATATGTTTTTCTGGTTCTGTGACATTATTTTATAATTTATAATATATAAGCGATCATTTTCAAGCATTCTAATTAATAAATACGCAAAAATTCTAATTAAAAATACGCAAAAAATTAATTTTTTAAGTAGTTTTTATTTTAATAAATTATTTCCGTATTTTAAAAACTTAGAAATCGTATTTTTTGAATTATGTCACTGTTGCAGCAAATGAGCGATATATAAAGATGAATTTAAAAAAAACGACAAAATATTCATTTTCTTATGGAAATTTCATTATAAAAATATTGCAAAAAATTAATTTCATTTTCAAGATTTACAGACATACATATGAAATAAAAAAGAAATACAATTTATAGTTTATAATGTAAATAATATAAGGATGCTTGTGATAATATTCTTAATTAAAGGATTAGAACAAATGTTGTAAAAAAAACAGTAATTTTAGCTTTGTCGTATATTTTTTATGTCGAGTAATATTTATAGTGAATTAAAATGTTTTAAATTGTTAATAATAGAATATGATTGAATTTCGTATGTGATATGCAATAAATTGAATACATAAGTATATAAGTATGCATATATCAAATTGCAATAATTTTTTTGTTAAAATAATTTCTCCATTAAAAAAAAATTACAATATACTTCCTGTTAAAATCAATCATTTCTGTATAGAGATATATTAACTTCTTCGCCACCTGTTCCGACTATGCAATGTACATTAGTTTAAACGAACTCGAAAATTATTTTACATTTTTGAAAAATTTCTCGTACAACATTTATAAGAATTTTATTTTTTATTTATTATATACATATATATTAAAGTTCAATTAATACTGTTTTCGTATAAGCTTTATATTTTTGGAAATGTTAGGTATTTTGTGTAGGTTAATGCTCTATAAAGTTTTATGTTTTTTTTAGCTTGAAACCTTTTTTTTTATACTCCTGATACAGTTCCTCCTAACAACTACATGTTTTAAATTTTAAAGCTCTTAAGGTTCAAATATTTGGCCATTGCAGCTGATATGAGTTATCGACACACATGTGATGTAATTATAAATTCTAAGTCAAAAAGTCATATATTTGCTAAATTAGACTAGGTAGCGAACGGGTTAATATATAAATGATCGACGTCAAAATTTTTTGTAAATAAAATTAAAGAATATTTTTGCAATTTATTATTTCTTTCTTTTTTGATTGAAATGTAGGAAATTTTATAATTTTCTTATAATGGGATCGTGGTGCTTTTCCTTTTTTTCTTGTTTTCTTTTTTAGCTATCATTTATCACAATTAATTGTTTTAGACGATATGATTTATGTATGTATGTATGTGATGAGTAATAAAAATATATTAGTATTCATCTATTATTTTGTATATTAACAAAATAAATTTTGTGTATAATATCTATGTATTATTTTAATTTATGTTTGTATTTAAATTAAATATTTTTTGTATCATAATATTGCATTTAGAGAAGGAACACTTTAACATTTTCTATTCAATTTGGATTAAAATTGTTTGAATTGATTTTAAATAATTTATTTTGCATTTATTTTTGGTTTTAACTAACTTTATACTTATTACTTTTTTTTTTGGTTTGAATTAACAATAAACTTTAATCATTTGATTATATGTGTATGTATATATACACTATATACACACAAGAGTATTTATTCTTCATTTTATACAATATTATTTATTCTTTTATTTTATTTTTATTTAAAGACTTTTTTTAATGTAATTTTTAAGTTAACAAAAATTTTTTTAACGTTTTTGAAAATACACACGATTTTTTAAGATTTTAGTTAATTGAGTGTATTTTTCTTTTAAAATTTTATTTTTTTTCTCTATTCAATCAAATTGTTTTTTAATTTTATATTGTATTGTATATTTTGTTTTTTTTTTTTTTGGTTATTGGAAACGATATCCAAAAATTTAAAACAAATTTTAATTCAAAAATTTCTCTCATTTTCTTTAAATTTTTTTAAAAATATTTTCCAAAGAAAATTACTCATAAACAAATCAATAAATTAGTGTGATTTGGATTTGGATTTTGATTTTGTTTTGGGCTTCTCAGTAACAATTGACGGTGAGTTGGAGTTCGTTGAATTGCCAGGATTTGTTATTAATGTTGCTATGAAATTTATATTATTATAATTCTTTTTATTGTTGCATTGTAATTATATTTTTTTATTAAAATTTCAATTTCAAATGAATTGTAAATGTAAATGTTTTTTTAAAGAAAAGGGAATAGTTATTTTTGAATAACTTTAAATATTGTTTTTGAAATAACAAGAATATAGGGAAACATTTAAATAAAACAACTATTCCTTTTTCATTCACCATAATGTTATGGTCATTTTAAAATTATTTATAATAACCAAATACATACGTAGAGGTAATTTTAGTTTTCAAGTATTTGATTAAATCAAAAATTTGTTTTTTTATCTTTAATTAATTATTATAATAATAATATATGGTGTAAATTTAAAAATAAAAATAAGGTGACCAAAATTATTTGCTAATTTTAAAGCAAATCAAACATAAATATTATCAAATGATCAATAAAAAACAAAAATATAATAAAATAATAATACATATTTAAATAATATGTATGTATATTACATGTATATGTATGTACTTATATATTTACTTTTAAAACAAATTTTAAATAAAAAAAACTATTAAAGTAACATTAAGTACATATATGGATTTTCTCAAAGAAAATTCTTTAATTTGTATTAACACTTTGCATAAACACTTGAATTCAACTTAGAGATAAATTATCAAAGAAAAAAAAAATAACATATTAAATTCATTATTTTTTACAGCAACTTAACCTCAATTCAAGAATGAAAAAAAAACCTCAACATATTTTTTTCTTCATCTTATCACTAAAATGTTATCACATCTCAATGAATTTCTTGTATTATGAATTTTATCGCTATACTACTTCAAAAATCGATAAAATACTTCGATTTTTTTGAATACAAAATATACACATATATACGAGTTCATATGTGCATTTTAAGAACATTATCGAAAGGGAGTATTTTTAGTACAAATTGTGACCTTTTTTTATGTGATATTGAAGTTTAATTTTTATTTTATGACCTCATTTCATTTTAATTTTTGTGACCTCATTGTAGTATTGCACTATAATTTTATGTAATTACTATAATAATAATTAAAAGCTTATTACACAACGAAATTTATATTGTGCAACTGCAGCAAGATCCATTCGAATTCCACCATGATGAATAATAATAACAACAGCAGCATGATTTCTTTTTCGATGATGATAACTCTGAATTTAGATATATAGTTGAATTTGGTATCTGAAAATTACTTTGATATGGTAATGATGTTGATGATGACGATATTGTTGGTAATACTGAATTTGTTTTATCCATTTTATTATTATTATCAATTTCTATAGAATTTATTTCATTGCCTATTGTAAATATTTGAATTTGTTGTTGTTGTTGGTGATCGGAAATTGATTTTGGTTGTTTATCTATAACTTCTGAATTTCTATTTTCATTATTATTGCTAGTGTTATTATTATTATTAGTATTATCATTATTATTATTGTTATAACTACTGCTATTATTGCTATTGGTATTGTTATTCGAATTATTTATTTCATGTGGTTTTTTTGTTACATTTTCTGGTGTTTTATTATAATATTTCAATGGTGATTTTATTTTTGAATTAGATTTTGATTTTTTTAATACCGAATCATATGAAGACGGTAATTTTTTATGAAAAATTGTCTTATGTACTCTTAATAAATCAAATGAACTAAATTGTACTGGACATTCATTACATTTATATACACTTAATATTATATTTTGTGAACGTTTTGAATTAATATTTTTACGATTTTTATCCATATTTCTTGATTAAAATTATGTATTTAATTTTATTATCCGATTTTTTTAATAATATCAAAAATGTAAAGATATGTTTATGTGATTTAAAATTTAGTTATAAACTGAACAAAATTTAAGAGTACATTTATTCTATATTATTTTTTTTTCATTCGTTAAAAATAAATTTTGTTAATGGGTTTCATTACTGATAAGAATAGTCGTGAAAATTGATCAAATCAATGTTTTGTAAAGAAGCACATAAATTTTTAGCGTATTGCAAAATTTATTGCACATATTTTCTGCATGAGAATCAAAATTAAAGGAAGCGTTTATATTATGGTTGACTTCGCTGGATAATTAGTAATTAGGGAAGTAAGGTGAAAAAAATTTTATTCGGACAATGTAAAAAATTTTAGACTTTTTCAACCTACCGCCTAAGAAAAAAAATCTGATATAAAACGGTCCTGAAACAATTAACCCTTATTATCAACAACTCTCTTTTGTTATTTTAACGGTTGCTCTTTTGTCATTTTAATACTGTACACGGTAGAAAAAACATGACACCATTTTTTGTGATAGTGATAAAAAACGATGTATGATTTCGCTACAATAAAATTTTCAAAGGAATCAAAAATTGGTAAACAGATGAAGATACGGACGGACAAAATGGAACTAATAACTATATAGAAATGTGCAATAAACAAAAACAAATTTGATAAACGAGTTGATTTATAGTATGCGATAAAATTATAGATAACCATATACATACTTTTAATAATAAAATTTGTACTTTTTATGTGCCTTCGTACTTATAAATTTTGTAGATTAAAAAATTTTTACGTCACTTTTTGAAAAACTATATATGTACAATTTTGTTCATTTAGTTTAATTCATTAATTGAAAATTATAAATATGTATGATTAATCGTTCATAATAAATTATTAATAAATATGTGAGTGTTTTTATGAAAGTGTGTAATTTAATTGCACAGAATCATAATTTTGTCAATGTATCTGTGGAATTTGAATTATTGTTTTATACTGAAAAATATAGAGCATTTCGAATCTTATGACTAAGACCGCTTACCTAAACTCAAACTAATCGGTAATCTACTTTATTTACGAATTAAAGTTGTATTGTTGAATGAAGTTCATGTTAGATTAATATTTAAGTGATCTAAAGCGCTTTTTTTTTAATTTTACACTTTTACTTTAAAATTTTATAATAAATTAATATATGCATTAAATACATAAATACATTTAAATTGTGTTTGAAAATTTATATGTAACCTAAATTGTGGCTTTTAAAAGCAGATGTCAGTTTGTTCTTATGTTTAAGTAGATTCAGGTCGAATTAATACTAAAAAGTATTTGAAAAAAACTGGTTATTGGTTTCACTCTGTCCGCCCGTCCGTCCGTAATAAAATTAAATGTTATCTGAAACCCATTTTTGTTAAATTTTTGACATAGTTAGAATTGTTGGAGAACAATTGTAAAATTTTTTTCCAACTCCACCCTCTCTCCAAATATATAAAATTTGAATTTTTGGCACGTTATATTTTCGAAACTGCAAGCTTTTCCAAATTTCCATATATGCTGAAACCAGTAATTAAGTACCGTTATTTTTCATTATTCTTAATTACCAATCAATAATGTAATCATTAAGTTCGAACATTATATTATCGCCTCTTTCAATTTTTTTTCTGCTTCCTGAATGTATATAATCTTCGAAATATTTTGGTACATATATGCATATGAATGAATAACTTGGTAGATTATTTTTAAAAGCAATACTTTCACTTTACAAACCATGGGTATGTCCCAACTCTATTAAAATCTCTGTTGCTTTGGCTTTATAAAAGAACTTACCAATAAAGTGAAGAAATCATGTAAATTGTATCTTTGAAAAAGTACAAAAGATTTATTAAAATTTGTAAAACATGATGTACCAAATTTACTTGTATTAGATTTAGTATTTAAATCGTTTGTACAAAAATATAAGTAATCGGGATATTTGAGTTTTAAAATATGTATAACGAGTTTTGTGTTGTTAGATAAGATAATTTCTTACTGTCAATTATATTTTGTGCTAATCAATTTTATATTATAAGAAACTCTTCAAAATTTAATTTTAGTATTGTAGTACAATATTACATGTGTAGATCAAATACCACTCATATTAAATATTTTATTAAAAAAAAACGAATTTCGCGCTTAAAATAGATTAAAAATAAGAGATTCAAATGATTCTATAGAAATATGGATACCATAATTGAATATCGATGCTCTATATGTTCAGAATGTTTTTCATCCGATGATGAACTACAAAATCATCTTAGATCAGTACATAACCCAATTTATACGCACCCAATAGTGTTTCAAGCAATTACTCAACAACCTATGGCAGATCCAGTTGTTGTTGTTATATGTTGTCCTCCCGATCATTCTGATAATAAAGACACAAATTATTTTAATCAGCCCGGTTGTTGTGAAGGGCAAGATTTTGGAGATGGTGGTGATTGCGGTGGAGACTGTGATTGTGGAGATTCTGATTGTGGAGACTGTGATTGTGGAGATTGTGATTGCAATTGCGTTATTATGTAAATTATTTATTTATACTTTGATTGTTTTTAATTTTCGATTTACTCTGCATATATAATTACACAGTAACAGCGACACGCTTCTTCCAATAAACAATAATTATATAGTTATAAAACTATAAAAATCAGTTTTATGAAGAACATTTTGATTATCAAACTAGACTACATACACTAATTATCGTCATTAGTATAGATAAGATATTTAATTTTCACTTTTTAACTTTTTTATTTTGATGAATTATTCAAAATGTATTATCAAAAAAGTATATATGTTTACAGATATGTCAAATAAAATCAAAATTATGAAATACAGTATGTATTTTGATTCAAATAAAATTGGTCACCTTATAGTAATAAAATTTTTACAAAAAATTTTAAAAGAGATGTAATTTTTTCAACAATATATCAAGTATACTTACAAACACATGTTGGCAATTCTTTAGGGGTCCAATTTCCATCAGCTTGGCAATAACGATCCTGTTTACCAACTAATTCATAACCTTCACCACAATGATAAGTAATTCGACATCCGAATGTGTAACATTCAGTTGCATGCCATCCATTAGCTGGTTCTGGTGGCTGTCCACAAGATCGAGCTATAATATAAAGAAATTGATTTTTTTTTATGATAATTTTTTGTGTTGTTATAAATTAATTTTTTTTAGAATATTATTAAATTTTGTGTCATTTGCGTATATACATACGTTCACATTGTATATCTGGACCGTACCAACTGGCAGTTCCATCAATTGCTAAACATTTTGCCCTTGGAAAACCATTTGTTTCATAACCATTATGACAATGATATTGAACAGTTGAATCTAAATCAAATGTTAATTGTTCAGGTAATGCTGAATGTCTTGCATGTTCAATTGTTGGCGGAGTAAGGCAATAAACTATATATAATTATATAAAATGAAAAAATTTAATATAAAAACGTAAAATTATACAATTTATATGTAATTGCTTACTATTTTGTTTACATGCTGGTTCAGAGCCAGCCCAATTTCCATCAGCTTGACATAGACGACTAGCTAAACCAACAACATGATATCCATGTGGACATGTATATGTTGCTCTACCACCAAAATGACGTCCAGATATTGTTACAGTACCAAGTGGTGGTTGATTTAATTCTGGACATTCACGATCTTTTTACGTACATAATATATAAATTTATTAAAAAGGCTCAAATTAAATTATTAAAGATTAAATCATCATATTATTGAAGATTTCATTGCCATTTAATTAAATTTTAAAAAAGGTTTCTTCACTTTTTTTTCATCACAAAATTTTATGAATTTTTAAATAAAAAAAAATAATAAATGTGGAAAATTTAATTTTTTATTCTCTTTCGAAAATAAATTTAATAAAATCCTTTTAGTTATGTTCGGATATACTGTATGTATTTCGTGTTGGTTTATCATTATTCATTAATTTTTTATGAGCTCCATTTAGTTAATAGTTCTATAAAATATTTTAAAACCATAATAAAAGTGCTGTACCAACTATGATATTCCTCCAGAGTTAAAAACAAAATCTTGTACATTAACGCTTATATTCAGTTGTAAATTAAAAAATTTGTGATGTTTTGAAATTAAATAAGTGTAATTTTAAATATAATTGGTGTTTATTCGGGCAACGTTCCAATGAATTTGGTTTTAAAATGTATTCACGCGTTTAATTTATTTTCACATAATTTTTTTACCTTGTAGCATCGGAAGTTGTTTACAAATTACAAGTAACCTTTGATTAGTGTTGGACACTTACATATATTTAAATGAATAACAACATGAAAAGTAATATTAAATTTGGGTAATATTTAAATTACAATAGAAATAAAATTTTAGGAAACTGTAGTTAATATAAAAGTCCAATAACACATTATTCCTTGAATGTATAAAACAAATTTTCTATGTGTTACATGTTTCAATAATTGCACATTTTTTTGCTCTTATGGTATTAAGAGGTTAAAATTGCAAAGCTACGATATATATTAGATAAATAAATTCTTAACAAGTTGGTAGTGTACTAATCTTGGTACAAAATACAAAATAATTCTTATTTTTTGGAACATACTTTTTTGGCAGTGCGTACAAAACTTAATTATTAAATAGACTATAAATTTAAGTGCTAAGCACAGAATTTCAAAAAATATTCATTTGTTTAACTATATGATGTTCGAAAAAAAATTTAAACCAAAATAGTAAGGTTTTCAAACACAAACCTAGGAAAATTAGTTCGTGCAGAAGTTCGGAAAACATAATAGAGAAATAAATTTATATGGTATAGACTCTTTTATAGCAAAATATTATTACTTTTGAACTTAAAGAATGCTAATTGAGTATAACGAGCTTAAATAGCTAGAATAAAGTATTTTTCACTTGGTGGTTATAAATAGTTAATAAATCGTTTTGGTAACAAACTTTCGTCATAAAATTAAATGGTAAATATTTTACCCATGACGTGTCTTAGAGTTGGTATTATCATCCATTTCAATGACCGTTTTTAACATTTCAATTTAATAATAAAAAATTAAAGGAATAAAAAATTAAACTTGAAAAAAATAAAAGAAAAAAATGAGTAAAAGCAAATGTTTTTTGAAAAATCTTTTGAAAAATCCGAAAACCGACTTTTCATTGTTTCTTTAAAAAGAAAATCCTTGGTGGCCTTCAACGGAACACAAACATTTTTCTCTTTTTAATTAAATTTTTTTTTTCTGATATTTTGTTCTCTCTTTTTTTTCTTATATTTTTACTCATAAAGATTATAATAAGCAAAAATGAAATAAAAGTTAATTAAATCAGGTGAAAATTTAATTTTCTTTTCTTGTTTTATTTATTTTTTTTATTTTTAATTTATTTTACCGTTTTGTTTTATTTTTACTTTGTTAATGCTATGATTATTATTATTTTTATTTACCTGGTTTAATGCATGACATTCCGCATGCTCCATCACAAAGACATTTCTTTTTTTTACTTTTACAATCCTCATCTGAAGAACATTTTCTTAAACATTTTTGATTTAATAATGTTGCTTGTTCTTCATCTCTGGGACATTCAGTTGATGGTGAATTTCTTGGATTTTTATAAATTCTACCATCATCGTCAGCTTCTGATGATTCATCTTCATCATCCCATTCTTCATCTTCCTCAGCTTCTGTTGTTGTTGATACTTCTGTATTCGTGGGTAATGAAAGAGCTATAAATATAAAAATTATATAAGTTGAGTATAAATAACTGAAGATTTTGATCTAAAGATTTTAATCTGAATCATTCATTTCATTTGAAATTATTTTAATGTAAAAGTAGAAAAAAGTGGTAAGTTTTTATTTACACTTTTGATATTTTTTAAATTTTTTATGTATTTTTAATTATAGTTATGAACATGTTGGCGTTATCCTAATTTTTATTCATTCTTGTTATTTTCGACGATGAAATAGAAAATTTTTTGAAATCTTTTTAAAATTTTTGTATTCTACTTCATTAATTAACGTGATAAAACTTTCTGCCAAAAATTGAAATTCGAAAAATTTATTTATGAATTATGACAAATTATTTCTTTAGAATTAATTACTATAAGTTTGTCCAAATATATAATATAAGAGAGCTATGCGAGAAATATAATCAAGGTTGTATCTTCAAGAATTCATACAATTTTACATTCATTTAGAAATTCTTTGCATATTTCATTCGTTTTAACCGTGCGGTATAAATAATTATACAGAAACTACATGAAAATCTCAGAACAGAAGTGATTGGTTATAAAATTTTAATATTACCTTTTGATATTGATGAATGAAACGATTTTAAGAAAGTTATAATATTTTCATATTAAATTTATCTGAAACCCAAATTAAAATTCATTTGAACATTTGTTATTGATGTACTGATAGTTTCATTGTTCAACTAATATATCAATTTAACATGTATATATTTATATGTACTTAAATCAGATATATAATATAAATTTCATATAATTCTATTACAGCATAAACAGGTCCATCATTTATAAACAATTTGGAAAATTATTTGCGTTTTTAAAAAGGTATAATCAACTAAGGTTTTCAAGCACAAAATTATGAAAAATTTCTTCTAAGAATTGTTACAAAATAATTTAAATAATAAAGCTTCTCAAAAAACTTCAAATTTTTGCCAACCACCTAATAAGAATAACTTTTTTTAGGAAAAGGATCAATAATTAATTTTATTGTATATGTATATAAGTATGTATGTGTAATAATATTAGGATGCAAGGAAATAGTAAAAATATAATAAAATAAAGTAAAATGTCAAAAAAATATGATAAAGGTTAAGTTTATTACAGCAGGTGTTTTTTAAATTTTGAAACCATATAAAATTCTTGAAATAAACAAATCGAAATTTTCAATAATTCACAAGTGAATTTTATGAAATTCTTATTTAGTAATAAACGTGAACTTTAGGCATATCAAGTATTTAAAGTATATAGTATAATAGTTTTCAACAGCTGATCTATGACTGATTCACATTAAGAACTTCTTGGGTAGTACAACTTTCAGTTTGGGATAAATAAAATTTAGTTGGATAGTGCGTACATTAAAAATATATATATTCTTTACTTATTTCACTCACCTATATGACAATGGCAACCAAATTTAATAAACCTAATTCGTTATATAATAAAAATTTAATTTAACAAAACTGGATCCTGGTTTCTTTAGTACACCAAAGATTGGACTTTTCAGTGTTTAATTTTTATGAAATTTTTATGTAATTACAATGGTGTAATTGTATAATGACAACATTTATGTAAGTGTTAAAAAAGAAGATAATCCAATGCGAAGAAAAAACAATCAAATAGCTTTCCTTTTTAGCACTTTTCCAAAAATTTTTTGAAAAAACTTCTTATTAGTTTGACTCTGCTCGTCCAGCCGTTCGTCCGTGGACATGGTTCCGAAAAATAAGGCGGCGAAAACTCAAATTTAATGAATATGAGGAGGCGATAATTTCTATTTTGTTATTTCAATATTCAACTATGCTGTGCCACGTTAGAAGAACCATGTCGCCACCTTTCTACGCTTGCGGAATTTAAAATATGCTTTTGATTTCGATACAAAAAATAGGAGAAAAATGACTTTTTTAGAACTTTGAGAGATTATAGCTTTTAGTGTGGGAGATAAGTAAAACTATTCTTTATGAGAAGGAAGTATCTAGTTTCTAGATTATATTTAAAATTTCAAAAAGGTCTTTGAAGGATACAGAAGTTGTCTAAACAGACACACGGAAAGACGGATGGAGTGAAACTATAATAAGCGACTTCTTTCAACTATTTTCAGAAAAGTGTTAAAAATACATTATAATAGAATAGTAAGAAAAATTTTTAAAAATAAATAGTCTGGTTTTGTCACTGTTAATACTAACTTATTCCTTTGAGAAGGTAGAAACTATCTTAAAATAAGAGTTAAATTAAGTAGCTAATTTACTAATTAATTGTTATATTATGTAAAATAAATTATAAATCTAATTTCCTCTCTTCAGAAAACAAAACCATATAAATTCCTGTGGTATCATATGTGGTCTCATATTTGTATGTTATATATCCTTGTGTACATAGGATATAATTATTCCTTTTTTCCCTCGTACTATTTAAACTTTGAATTTTAAATTAAGAAACCAATAAATTCAACTTTTTGTAAAAACTTTCTACAGTTTTGCATGTACAAATTCATGTTAAAGCCACATATTAACAGTATTCATATACTGTTCGTATGTATATATACTATGTTTTTAAAAGATTACACATAATAATACAAAACAAGTGTAGGTATATAATTTATACCTACAATAAAATATAAGTATACCCAAGATGAAAAATTTCAAAAATAAAAACTTGAAACCCCATTTAAAAATGTTATATTTAACTTACATAATGATATTGTGTTTGTATAATATACCCATATATTAGTATGTTCATATGTATAAGGTTAAGTGTACTTAACTTTTATAAATAAACTCTTAATAAGCAAAATTTTATATTTTTATAAGATGGGTTGAGATATTATAAAAATTAATTTATTAATATTATTATCATCAGTTTAATAAAACATATGTAAACTATAATGTTATAAAGTGTAATTATATACAAGATGTGCACAATGTTAAACATATTTTGTTTCGTATTTATACACATATATTTTGTTGTGTCTCTGTTAAGATCAAATATGGAAAACTTTTATCAAAAAAATTAATAAGTCATAGAAATATTTTGATGTAAAATATTACAAGTGCTTAACAAATAATTTGATATACTTAATATATATAAATATTCATTGTTATTTGTGTGAAAGCTTGCTTCAGCTGAAATATTGGAGCTCAGAGAGCGACAGACATTCTCCCAAAATTAGTTTTTTTGCAATTTTCTGTCCTTTTTTCTAGTACAGTATAAAAAATTTAGAATATGTATTTATGACTTTAATGAAGAAAGTAGATAAAACTTCACTGATGGAGCCTCCAAAGTTAAAAACAATATATTAAACTATAATTTCCATGTTCACAAGAAAGTTCCAATTTTAATTACATCAAACGAAAATAACAGAACAAAAAAAGGTTCTATCGCAAAATTTTCTATGTGATTTGAACTTAAAATCAAGCATTAATTTCTCTATATGCCTTTAAAATTTTAAACACTATATATCAAATATTAAAAAATAAATTTTCAATTATTATGAATTAATAATTAAATATGTAATTTTCGTATTCTTTCGGTTTCATTCTTTTCATTATTTCTTTTCCACTCATCCTTCTTCATTTAGAAATTTCAAATTTTGTTATAGTTCACTTTAACATAGTAGATGAAAAACTGCTATAGAACGAATGAAATAGGAAGTAACGGTAAGTGTAGAAAAATTTCTCTTTTGAAGATTCACTTCGTTATTTAAAGCATTAAAACCTGCCGATTTGTTCACATTTTATAATGATTCTCATTATTATTTAATTCATATTAATTAGCTCACATTTTAAACAAATCGAATCACTCATTTTTTTAGAAATCATTTTATCTTTCATCATGATTGCTTTCAAAATAAATTTTAATTGGTAAAAAAAAAGGCAAAACGATTCAAATTTGCTAAAATTAAATTTTTGAAGACTGCATTCGTAACTGTAAGTTCATTATTTAGAAAGAAAAAATTATATAGAGTAATTCATACGAGGCCGATTTTAAAATTTTACTAAATGTCCCAATTTAGTAAAATAATTTTTTCAGAGCGATATACGCCAAAGATGTACAAGTATGTAGACTTAACATACATATATCTTTGATCTACAGTCTGATTTTGATTTTATTCATACGGTGTCTATTTCATTCATACCTGTTCCGGAACTAGCTTGCCTATATCACTGCAATCATAAAAATTTCAAATTTATTTTAATAATCTCATTCTAAATCGCATCAATTTAATTAAATTCTTTTTATTTTCAAGTCAGATTTTTTTATTTTTTCATATTATGTCTTGTAAAAATGTTAGAATATCAATTAAACTTGTTAAATTCCAGAATAAAGTAATTATGTGATAACATGTTTCTGTATATTTTTAGAAAGAGTTAAATACATAAATACGGAAAACATTCTTCTCATTTGTAAATTACATTAAGAAAATATGTCTAATTTGCTCAATTGTTTCTCATTCGGTGAGTAAAAAAATGAGATACTAAATATGATACACCGATTAAAGACTGGTAAAAATGTGCTTTAAATTCAAAATGACAATTCATTAGTTATACCAATTATGGAAATCATTGTGTTCAAAAATTCAGAAGTAATCAATAATCGCGCTTAATTTAAGTTTAAACTTTCTTATTCTATTACCAGAATAAATTCATCTTTTATTAAAAATTTTCTTTTGGAAATTTTTAGATACTATGTCTAAGAATCATATGCACCCGTACATACATATTATTCGTACAATAATAATTACAACTTTTATTTAATGAAAATATTTTCATTATTTTCTTTTATTTTTACTTATTTTTCTTTTTTAGTTTTTCCTTTTTTTCATATTCTAAATACATGCTATAAAAGCTAACATGAATTTAAATATTAAAATGCTCGTGTTTAAAAGCCGTTATAATCTGATTAAAGGATATGTTTTGTTTTTTTTTTTCTTCTTTTTTGTTAGTTTTTCATTTTGTGTGTTTTCTTATATCCTTTTGTCTTAAAGA